TCACCAGCCAGGACGGCCCCCTCCACCAAGCCATGACGGCCCCCTCCACAGCCAGGGACGGCCCCCCTCGACCAGCCAACAGCCCCCTCGGACCAGCCAGGACAGCCCCGTCACCAGCCAGGACAGCCCCCTTAACCAGCGCCCCTGGAGCGCTGGCCAGCCTCGGAATGGGGCCGAGCGGCTGAGCCAGGACAGCGCGCGCGCGCGCCCGGTCCACGCGGACAGACGCCATGGTACAGCCGCCCCGGGACGAAGCCTGCGGACAAGCTGGGGGACAAGCCATCCACCAGCCAGGACGGACCTCCCCCACCAGCCAGGACGGCCCCTCCACCAGCCGAGAACGGGCCCCCTCGACCCGCCAGACACCCCCTCGACCAAACAAACCCCCACACCAGGATCGGCCCCTCGACCCAGTCCAGACGGCCCCCTCGACCCAGCCAGGACGGCCCCCTCCACCAGCCCTGCCTCAGCCTCCCGAGTAGCTGGGACTACAGGCATGAGCCACCATGCCCGGCTAATTTTTTTTCTCTATATATATTAGTTGGCCAATTAATTTCTTTCTATTTATAGTAGAGATGGGGGTCTCACTGTTGCTCAGGCTGGTCTTGAACTCCTGAGCTGGAGTGATCCTCCCGCCTCGGCCTCCCAGAGTGCTGGGATGACAGGCGTGAGCCACCTTGCCCGGTCAGTAGCCCACTTCTTTTTGTGTGTGTGTGTGCCAACTTGATGACTAGTACATGTGGTAGTAGCCCACTTCTTATCACTTCCCTCCCATCCCGGTCTGGCTCCCAAAGTCCCCTCCCTAGGGGAACCCCTTTCCCCTCCGAGTAACTCCTTGTCCCCCTGGTTTGAAGGCCGGTGGCCGGGGCAGTGGGTTTCTGTGGCCGGGCGGGATTCCTGGGGCACAGCGGGGTGCTCAGTGGGTTGGCTGGGGAGCCGGGGGTGGGCAGCGCGGTCCAGAGCCCCACCTGGCCGTGCCCTGGCGACCTGATGCCCCCCTGTCTGCCCTCCGTCCGCAGCCGGGCGCCGGGACGATGGTGGACCACCTGGCCAACACGGAGGTCAACGCGCAGCGCATCGCCGCCGTGGAGAGCTGCTTCGGCGCGTCGGGCCAGCCGCTGGCGCTGCCGGGCCGGGTGCTGCTGGGCGAGGGTGTGCTCACCAAGGAGTGCCGCAAGAAGCACAAGCCGCGCGTCTTCTTCCTCTTCAACGACATCCTGGTGTACGGCAGCATCGTGCTCAGCAAGCGCAAGTACCGCGGCCAGCGCATCGTGCCGCTGGAGGAGGTGACGCTCGAGCCGCTGCCGGAGACGCTGCAGGCCAGGAACCGCTGGCTGATCCGCACGGCCAGGAAGTCCTTCGTGGTGTCCGCCGCGTCCGCCGCGGAGCGCCAGGAGTGGATGGGCCACATCGAGGAGTGCGCGCGGCGGCGGCTGCTGGCCACGGGGCGCCCGCGCGCCACGGAGCACGCGGCGCCCTGGGTGCCCGACAAGGCGACCGACATCTGCATGCGCTGCACGCAGACGCGCTTCTCGGCGCTCACGCGGCGCCACCACTGCCGCCAGTGCGGCTTCGTGGTGTGTGCGGGGTGCTCGCGCGCGCGCTTCCTGCTGCCGCGCCTGTCGCCCAAGCCCCTGCGCGTCTGCAGCCTGTGCTACCGCGACCTGGCGGCGCAGGAGCGGAGGGAGGAGGCCGAGGTGGAGGCCGGCCGGGAGGGGCAGCACCCGGGCCAGGGGTCCCCGGCGGCGCAGCCGGACGGCCCGGCCGGGGCCGCGTGCGCAGCGTCCAGCGGAGACTACGACTCGGACGACGACGACTCGGACGAGGAGCGCGAGGGCGGCGGGGACGCGGACTGGCCCGGCCGCGTGCAGTTCTACGCCGAGGGCGTGTCCTGGTCCGCCTTCCACAGCTGACGCGGGCCGTGGGCAGCTCCAGGAGCGCGGGGCCCGCAGGTGCCCGGGGGGACCTGCCGCAGCAGCCGTGGGTGCCTCTTACCCCCAACCCTGGATTCCAAGTGCCTTTTTGCTGGACACCTGCGGCCTTCTGGTAATTCCACTTCAGACAATGAATGACCTCCCCGGTTTGCAAGCCCCAACTCACTCCGGCTTCTTGGGGACAAACAAGTGAGTGCCCGTTTCTGGGCGCTACTGGCTGCAGCTGCAGAAAACCCTTTGAATGAGGGTGTTTGGGGACCCCACCCTGCCCCCCTCCCCACGAGCACGCCCGTGGGACAGCAGGGGTCCGGGAAGCCAAGGCCGGCCGGGCCCTGCCAGTCCGGGCACATGGGCACCCCTCAGCCAGGCAGGACACAGCTGAGCCTCGGGGTCCAGGGGCTGCAGCCTGGCCTCCAGGGAGGCCTCCGCCCCCTTCCCTCCCTCCAGGTGTCCAAATGCCCCAGGTCTCTCTCCATCCTGCCCTCCTCTCTCCCCTCGGCCAGCCAGCGAAACCAGCGTTCTCTGTGAGGACTCTCGGGGGCAGGGACAGAAGCCCGACCCAGGCCGGCCTCATAATAAAAAGGAAAGTGTATTGACTTGTGGGGTCAACAGGTCCGGGAGCGTTCTTGCCTCAGACACGGCGGGAACTGTGCCGGTCGGCAAAGATCAGCCACCGTCCACTGACCGCACTGGGTGCCCCTGGGAACGCCGGCGGCCAGGTATAGCCGGACGTCCCGGTCACACCTTGGCTGGGCTCCTCTGGGAAACAGGTCTGTCCGGGTGCCCTGACCATGGCCTGGCACCTGTGCCCCACTCACTTTGGTGTGGGCTGTCCCTTTTTTATTTATTTATTTATTTTTTGAGACAGAGTCTCGCTCTGTTGCCCAGGCTAGAGTGAGTGCGGTGGCCATGTCAGCCTCGCTCACAGCAACCTCAGACTCCTGGGCTCAAGCGATCCTCCTGCCTCAGCCTCCCGAGTCGCTGGGACTACAGACATTCGCCACCATGCCCGGCTAATTTTTTCTTTATATTTGTAGTTGGCCAATTAATTTCTTTCTATTTATAGTAGAGACAGGGTCTGGCTCTTGCTCAGGCTGGTTTCGAACTCCTGACCTGGAGCGATCCTCCGGCCTCAGCCTCCCAGAGTGTGGGATGACAGGCGTGAGCCACCGCGCCCGGCCTGTGAGTTTTGACTGCTGGCATTTCTGGGGGCCGAGTTTCCTTAACGAAGGGCCCGCCTGCGTGGGTGGCCAGTGACAGACACTGAGTGTCGTCTGCCTGAGGCCTGGAGCCCATCAGGGGTTCACAGGACCCCACGAGTCCTGGCCTCCTTGATGATGGTCGTGGGGTGCAGGTGCCCACAGTGGCAGCGACTGAGGCTTCCCGAGGCCCGTGTGTGCCCCGGCTCTGGGGGGCTGGAGGCAGAGCCAGGTCACACGAGGCCACCCTAGGGCTGAAGGAGGTGTGGCCTGAGCCCCAAGAGCGACAGACAAAGCCAGAGGAAGGACATTCCCAGAACAGCTGGGAGGGCTTCCTGGAGGAGGCGGTGTTTGGCTGTGCCTCGGGGACCAGGACTCCGAGGCTCTTTGTGTGAGACTGTGCTTCCCTGTCCTGGGCCTTAGACCTCTGTGTTGAAGGAAGAGATGAATTAGGGTAGGAAACGGGGCCGGGCGGTGGGGCCAAGGGTGAGAGTGAAATGGCAAGTGAGCCTCACCCCGGAGCCTCCCGCCACGGCGCCGGAGGTCAGGGGCCGCCTGCCCCGGCCCGGCCCACCCCACCCCACCCCGCAGAGCTTCGGGGTCCGGGGCCTCCCTTAGAGACGTCGCCCAGTCTGGCCTCTCTCCTGCTCAGCCTGTTCTCTGAACACGGCCGGGAAGAGGCTGCCGGGGGAGGTCAGGGCCACTCCCGGCCCCACCACCGCCGGGGGCGTCCTGGAAGCGCCTCCCAGGCCCACCCAGTGCTCGGCCAGGACCTGGGCTCCCGGGGCCACACGTGCAAAAACCGCTTCCGCCGGGGCTGCCTCCGACCGGCGGCAGGAAGTGGGCGTCTGGAGGCTGAGGGCAGAGGCCGCGTGTGGTGGTTCACGCCTGGCGCCGCCTGCTGCCGCCCTCTGCACCCGGCCCCATCCGTGAGGAGCCCTCGCCCCCACACGCGTGTGCTGTCCCCGGCCCTGAGCAGACTCGGGGGGAGAGGGGGCTGTGCCTGGAGGGAACCACAGGGCGGACGTGGGCCGGGGCCCGGCGGGGAGGGGAGAGGGGTCCCCTGCCTTGCCGAGCCCAGCGGGCCCAGAGAGTCCAGGCTTCTCTCTGCCAAGTCCACCCTGCACTCTCTCGGTGCCACCTGGCGCCGACGCCTCCCCCACCCTGCAGCCTTCCTGGGTTGCCCTGCCGAAGGGTGGCTCCCCAGCCGAGCTCCCCGAGGACCTGCACCCCTGGCTCCGGCCCTCCCTCTGCCTGCCGCGAGGGGCTTCTGCTACCCTGTCCCCGTCGGAGCTCCCCGAAGGCAGGGGGTCTGCAGCCTCCACGGCCCCCAGCCCGGCGCCCTGCACCCCGGGCACTGCACGGATGCTTCCCTTGCAAGGCAGCACCGTGACCTCCCCAGGGACGCTGGGAAGATGTCTCGGGGGCCCAGAGTCAGAGCATCCCACACCGGCTTCGCTTAATCTGCATATCTGGCGTCTGGAGCCCCCTGCACCCAGTGTGCCAGCCCACACCAGGGCACGTCCTGACTCTTCCCTGGCCCCTCCCCCTTCCCCACGCCCTTCCCCCTTCCCCACGCCCTTCGCCCTTCCCCACGCCCTTCCCCCTTCCCCACGCCCTTCCAGGGGGCCCAGGCTTGCTGGACCCTGCTGGGTGGAGTCCTCGCTCCGAGGGAGGCTGGGCCGGTGTACACACATGTGTGTGCGTGTACATGTGTGTGCATGTATGTGCATGCGTATGCATGCATGCCGCTTCCACCTGCCGGCCCAGGGCGGCCCGGGCTCCCCCGCCTGCCTCCTCCCTCCCGCCCCAGGACCCCCATACTCTCAGACTGGCTTTGGGGTCAGCGTGGAGGGGAGAAAGGCAGGCTGAGTGCAGGGGGCTCACGCCCGGGAAAGGAGGCGGAACCCGAGGGAGACCCCGTGTCCGGGCTGGGACGCTGCCCACGGGCCTCTCCCCGCACACGCCTGACCCCCACGAGCTGATGACGCTCAGGGCGGGACGAGAGCCGTGCCCAGCTGTGCCCCCCCCCCCAGGCCCCCAGCCCATCGCCCTGCCGGGCTCTGACCGGAATGTTCCAGCGCTGGAAACAGAAAGGCAGGCAGGGAAGGCACGGGGCGTGGGCAGCTGCAGCCAGACATTTCTGGGCAGAAACAAGGGGAAATTGGGATCTCTGGAGCATGGGGGAGGGGGGTCCTGCCGGACGACCTGACCCCAAAGCACAGGCTCCCCGAGAACGGCTCCTGCCCCCGAGGCCCCGATCCCGGGGCGGGGGGTCAGGGCCGGTCACGGTGCGGCCCAGAGGTCCCTGAGGCCCCACGCCTGCTGGGCACAGCCGTGCTCACACGAACCTCTGGCTGCCGAGGCAGGCAGGAAGGTCTCCAGAACACACATGTGTACGAGCACACGCACACGGAAACTTCACGCGGTTTGCAAATTGCCGACATCCTTAAGACACCGAAATGCCTTCCTTCACATCTGGGACGGCAGCCAAGCTTCCTGGGCCCCCATGCTCGGGAAGCCGAAGTCTTTGAACCTTTGCACCGAGGGCCACGTGCCGGCACAGCCTATTCCTGGGAATTTCTCTCCCCTGCGGCCGAGCCGGGAGAGCAGGGATGAAGCAGAGCCGTCGGCGGGGGGCCATGGGCCGAGGCTGCCGCAGCTCAGGCAGAGCCGTGCAGGGGAGAGCCTGGGCTTCCGGCAAACCCTTCATGTGTTGTGTGATCCCTGGGCTCCCTGAGCTGCCCCCTCCCCTGCAGCCGCAGGGGCTCGGCCCACAGGCCTCTGGCGTGAGCCCTGGGTGGTGGGTGCCCGGCCCGCCCTGCGTGAGGTCCCTCCACCAGTGAGTCCTGGCCCTGGGGGACCTCCTCTTCCTCACATTCAGCTGTGCAGTTTGGTATAGCCAACCCCCCGCACCCCGTCCTGGCTACGGACACGGGCCCCGGCCGGCACATCCCAGCCCTGCCCGGGTCTGACCCCTCCTCCCACCCTGGCAGACCGAGGGGTGGGGCCCTAAGGCCACACGGGAGGGTCACCCACGCCCGGCTCTCGGGAGGGTCCGGGGAAAGGCACCGATTGAGCAGAGGGAGTTGGGGTCCAGATTCACCCCCAGGACGAGGCTGCCCACAGGCCGTGCAGATTTCAATCCAGTTGGGGAGGAATCCGCCCAGCCAGTTGCAGTGCGCCCGGGCGCGAGAGAGAGCAGAACATTCAGGCCGGGCCCGCGGTGGCTCAGGCCCGTCATCCCAGCACTCTGGGAGGCCGAGGCGGGAGGATCGCTCCAGGTCAGGAGCTCAAAACCAGCTCTGAGCAAGAGCGAGACCCCGTCTCTACTATAAATAGAAAGAAATTAATTGGCCAACTGATATATATATATATAGAAAAAAAAAAATCAGCCGGGCATGGTGGCGCATGCCTGTAGTCCCAGCTACTTGGGAGGAGGCTGAGCCAGGAGGATCGCTTGAGCCCAGGAGATTGAGGTTGCTGTGAGCTGGGCTGACGCCACGGCACTCACTCTAGCTCTGTCTCCAAAAAAAAATAAAAGATCTCAGAGAGGTAGGAGCAGATGCCAGAACGGGAGGAGACACTCTGGGAACAGCGAGCACAGGAAACTAGTGTCCAGTCCCCCTGCAAGAGCGAGAGAGAGAGAAACAGAGCTAACGGGGGAAGCAGGGCCCAAGTGAGTCGAGCTTTTTCAAATTTTCCCCACAGCATTATTGAGGCATCATTCACATCCCGTAAAAGCCACCCCCCCCTAAAGCGTACAGGATTCCGAGGTTTTCAGTGCAGCCGCGAGGTTGTGCGACCGTCCACCCCCACGCTATAGACAGCCGCAGAACATCTTCCCGCCCCCCCAGAAAGAAACCCCATGTCCCCAGGGGCATCCACGCCCCACGCCTGCCTCCCTCCCTGCCTCCCCCGGTCCTTGGCAGCTTCTCCTCTGCTTTTTCTCCGCCGCCCTGGATTTGCCTGCTCCGCACGTCGCCCACAGATGGGACCACGCAGCAGCGTGAGTGAGGTCTCTGGTGACTAGCTCCTTTCACCCCGTGTGTTCCCAAAGCCTCCTCCCTGTCGGGGCGAGCGTCGGCAAACAATTCCTCTCTGTGGTTGAATAACGGTCCCCTTGTGCGTCACATGCAAGTTTTTGTGCGGACGGGTGTTTCTCGTGCTCTTGGGCATACGCCTCCGGGCAGGGCTGCTGGGTCACGGGGCAACAACACGTGTGTCATTCCCAAGAGCTGCCGGACCCTTTCCCGGAGCGGCCGCACCGGTTTCTGTTCCTGCCAGCAGTGGATAAAGGTTCCCATTTCTTCCAAGCCTCGGTGGATATTGTCTTTATCTTAGCCATCCTAGGAGAAAAGTGCTGTCTCACTTCGCTTTTGATGACCGATGG